TACTAAAGGGGGTGATTCTAGGATCAATTTTAAGAAAAAAACTTCATGTGAACATATGTCCTAAACGTCTTAACTTTTGAGATATGGGGTGTTGAAGTTTTAAGAAATAAATCAATTTTTTATTGTCATTTCCATACCACTTTAAATATACTGCTCCACAAAAGTTAAGGAAGTTCACAAATATTGAGATTAATTTAAAAGTTGCAGGTTTTTTGATCGCCAAATTTAGTATGAGTTCTGGAGGTAGGGACAAAAAATCCACTAAGATATGAGAGAAAACATTTAAATTTGCATTTTTGAAAATTTGGTGATCAAAAAGTCTGTAACTTTTAAAATAATCGCAAAATTTGCGAACTTCCTTAACTTTTGTGGAGCAGTTTATTTTTATCATATTTGGTGTATGGCGTTTATGCATTAAAGAGAATTTTTTTACTTAAAAACATTTTTTTAATTTCAACAGTAGCGTCCTTACTGAACTCAGGCCAAATATTTTTGAGGGTAAAAGTGGTACGCCACTACTTTCTCTTGAAGTAAAAATTATTTTTGGAGGCCCCTTTCAATTTAGAACAAATTTGATATTTAACTTTTCGACTCATCGTTTCGCATTAAAAAAATAAATGCATTCATTTGTACATTGCCACTGTTATATGAAGTTTTTTTCTGAAAATGGGCCCAAGAATCACCTCCTTCATCAGTATATTAGCATGTTATTAAAAAACACCCTGTATATCAATACGTACCGAGAAATGGATTTGAATAGAAAATTTAGACGTATACAGTATTTATACGTGATTCACCGGTAAGGAGAATTATTGCGATTTTATATTATTGACCCGAATACATTTTCAATCTTGTGCGTGAGATGTGGGGGAGGCGGCCTTTTCGTTTATTTGCTCACTTTTTTATAATATCCCATTGTTTCGAGGCTTTATTGAATGATTATTGTCGTTTTTGTACTTGCACAAGAAAATTGATTTTAATAAACCTTCGAATCGACGAAAAAAATGGTCGCTATAGCGCTATTTTCCTGACCTTTTCATCCCAATTTTCCTCACATTAAACGTTTAAAAAAATACCACGGTGTTGCCAAGTTTTTTTTCTAATCAAATATTATAGAGTTTTGTGTAACATATAAAGGTCGCGAACAAACCGTCTAATAACTTTATTCGTATTCGCGACATTCATGAATTTATTGATACAGTTATATTCAAATCTTTGCGAATGATTATGTTAGATGGATCATTTAGGTACATAATTTTATGTCCTAGTATTTGATATTAGATTGCAATGTCATAAACACCCACTTCTAATCGTACAACAACCACAAGGCGAAGTCCTTATCTAAGATATATGTTTATTAACCGATACTTAGCAGAAACCTTTCATTGATACCCGTTTTGTTAAGCCAAAGAAACGAGGCCAGAACAATTTTGTCGAATTGTAGGATTTTAAGATGCGTGCGATGGTATCCTTGATGGTATAGGATTTTAATAACTAACGGAAGTAATCCAATCTAAGTCAGTGTAGGAAGATAAAGGGCAATAAACTCGAATGCGTGCTTAATTTGCAAACAATCAAATTCCTAAACTCTTGGGTAACCTAATTAAAAAGCGAAAAAAATTTCAATGAAATTTCCAATGAGGAAAAAAGCGATTTTTTCGAAGATTCCAATTGAATTGGTGAACTTCGTTGTCACCTACGAAATATTACTAAATTTATATTATAGGAAATTTTTAACTATATCATTGATTCAACTAAACAAATCGTCAATGCACACAACGCGAACGCCAATGCATACAAATATTACAATAAACAATTAATTCGAGAAGCGACAGATTAAATAAAGCAATTAATAGCGAAACGAAAGGTCGCTAAACTTGGCGATATTATTTATAATAATATCCGACCATTACATTTAGCTAGAATTCAAACTCACTTATATTAAACATTTCAATATGGTCGTAATTTCTTATTGTTATATTCAGAAGATTGTTTCTATTGTTCGCCGGGCGGTGAATGAAATTTATTACAACGTGCACCTTGACCTAGCATTTATACAAACTCTTGATTTTAATGGAACAAACTGTTCGATTTCTTCGATTGTTACGTATCAAATTCCGACTACCGATTAGCTGTTATAGGTCGATTCTTGACACAGCTCCACCCTGTATATATTATTAACAGAGGATTTGTATTGATAAGTACTCTAATTTTAATGTAATTTAAAGGATTTTTGAACTTTAAGTGTGGAGTAGTATTTGAGTGTTTTTTGGATGAGTTGATCATATGAATGATGAAACCTATGTTTGAAAAAATACCATATATTTGTGGGCCCATTTGATAAAATTGTGGATATTATAAAGAAACTTAGTAGTATTAGTATTAGTAGTGGATATTAAAAGTGGAATTAATAAAAGTAGATATGTATTCAGAGTGTTTTATTAATAAAACATGCTAATGATGAAGGGGGTGAATCTTGGGCCCATTTAAAAAAAAAACTTTATATGAACCTATGTCCTAAAGTCCTTAACTTTGAGATATATTAGGGTGTTAAAGTTTTAAGAAAAAAATCAATTTTTTACTTTCATTTCCATACCACTTTAAATATTTTTATGAAATTTGGTGTACGGCGTTTATGCATTAAAGAGCATTTTTGACCTAAAACACATTTTTTATTTTTAACAGTGTCCTTACTGGACTCAGGCCAAATATTTTTTAAGGTAAAAGTGGTAACAATAAATTTTAGGTTTAAGACATATGATCATATGAAGTTTTTTCTTAAAATGGATCCAAGAATCACCCCCTTCAATATTAGCATGTTATTAAAAAACACCTTGTATAATTTTAGTAGTACCTAGGTACCTAATTCAATAGGAAAATATCTCGATTACGAGTCCATTTGATAAGATTGTGATATTCCAAGCAAACTGAAAATTAGTAGTAGATATACTAGAAGTAGAATTAGTACCTATAGAATTATTACTTTTTAATATTAGGGTTATTTAAATTTTGAATATCGAAACGGGCTGTGTATTTGGAGGAGTTGTTCATATGAATGATGAAACCATCGTTTGACATAATTATTATTTATGAGTAGATTTTAGAAACTTCTCTAGGTAGATCTTGATTATGGGATAATTTGATAAGATAGCGGTGCTCCAAAGTGAAAATTAGTAGTAGATATTAGAATTAGAAATAGTAGAAATATTATAAAGAAGTAGGTACTTTATATACATATCAAGATTTTTTAAATTTTGAGTGTCTTAGTAACAGGATGTATATTGAAAAATTCGATTTTATGAGTTATGAACCACAACTTGATCGATCACTAAAAACAATCATTTATGAGTAAATTATGGAATCTTCTCCTATGATGGAATGATTGTTTCAAGAAAACGGAGAATTTTCGATTCGAGCGTCAAATCTCAGCCAATTTCATATATCTCGTTATTAGTTTATAGGCGTCAATCATGACACAATAACATCTATCGGTAGTAACAGTAAATTTCGTATCTGATTAGATTGGCGACTGATGCCACTTATCCCAAAGTATGGATATATACACTTTGATCTAACTAAATTCGTCTGATCATTCGATTAGTCTGGGCAATGTTTTGATAATAGGATTAAACAAATTCCATTGATGATTCGGGAAGAGAGAAATTACCGAAGGAGACTATACAAATTTTACACCAAACACAGTACAATTATTATTTAGAGATAAATTGGTAGGTATATGTATAGTACATAAAAAAATCATGACTCCTTTTTGAAGACAATTTGAATGCTACACAAACGCTGCTAATCCTTTTACGACGATGATTACAATGCCAGAGATAACAACAATATTTGCTGAGAAACGCTCGAATTTTAACGTATTTTAATCGACGGAAAAAAAGTCCGCGTGGAGCCGAGCGGAGCCCGTTTTTTGCTCGTGGTCCCGTCGCAGGATGGGAATATCTGCGATCTAGTTTCGAGATAAAAAGACGCGCCATTTTTTTGCCGAACGGATTTCGGCTGTTGTGCAATACTCTCCAACCTTGGGAGCGCTCAAAACTTGTTTGGTCGGCTTAACTAATGTTTTAATTGAATTTTAATAAAATCCCACGAAAAGCGCCAAAACCAGGGTTTTCCGAAAAACGTAGACGTATAAATATCATTTCCGCATATACGATTAAAAAAATGTGTATTGTGTACGGCCTCCTTTAGAGGTAAAACTAGGGTGAAAACCGATTGCACCCAACGATCGCCTAATTTTTAATCCTGGCTCTAATAGAATATTATCCTGATGACGAATTATTCGTTAATGCGCAAATAATAACAGGCCATTTTCGGCAATTTTACACGCTAATGAAATTATCCTCGTCAAAGTCGTTGTAGCCTATAGCCTAAATTCGTGGTATTTTTCGCGTTTTAATGGCATGTTTGTTTTCGAATCGACGGTTTGAGCCGTCGACAATCCATCAGGCAATCGTACTGGTTGGGATCCCAGACGGGTCGGGTCATCGCCAAATAACAAAAAAAAATTGCACTGTCATATACTCGAGAATATGAGCCTATTTTGAAGGTGGGTACTACTTGGAGATATTTGGTGGAATTAGCGGGGTAGGTACGCCTTTATTTGGGAATTTTGTTTGGGCTGTTTTAATGCAGGAATTAAGATTAGGTCTAAAAATTTTTAGTGTATAAAATTTTGGTCGGATTTTCGACGAGCGAGTGGCAGGAATAAATTAATTAATTATTCAGATTAGGTTTTTTTTGAGTATTTGCTTTTTTGGATTAATTCGAATTTCCATAAATTTTGTATCGAATCGTTGGTATTTTTTTGGTGCGTACTTGATGATGAAATTGTCGAGGTTTCGATTAGTCTTGGCATAATTTCATAATTCGATTAGATTTATATCGTTAATAGGACATTTCCTATATAAAGCTTACGGTACGATTTTGGAGTAAACTGAGCATTTAACGCAAAAATTCGAAATGTCTTAAGCAATACTTACGGATAGGAAAATGTGTTATTACAGTCTTCATCAGAAGCCATTTCAAAATAATCCTATATTTTACACCACTTACTATTATCACTACTTCATCGACATAATCAGTTTTTCAATTAGTACACACAAAATATCTATTCGAGGAACAAACAAAAAAAAAAAACGAACTTGTATAAATATGTAGGTACTATTCGCTCGTTCGTCGAGAATTGAAGAAAAAAATCCGGAAAATTCGTCGCGAATTACGAGCGCACTGGAAAACGTACAAAATCAGCAGGAAAAATCCGCGTCCTGGGATGAATCGATATCGCGCGAAGAGTACCAACAGCGATGTGTCGAAGGCCTAGCGCAAAAAAAGCACGTCACTTGTTGCATTACCGTCGGAGTCGTACCCACTGAGGAGGTAAATGTGGCCAGGTAAGAAGCGCGTGTGTGCGTACGCTATCGGCTGAACGGAGATACTGATGTGCAGGTCGGATAGTACGTTGCGAGCTCGCCCGCCATGCCTCGCCACCAAGGGTCTCTGCCTTACCTGCAAGGTACTACCTATAATCTATCGTCGGGCGGCTGTTTGTTTGATTGCACGCCGTAATCAAGGAGGAGATTTTGCTCGTTTTTTCCCGTTCTTCCGATTTTCACGCTGCTACTGGGTACTGCTTCGATTTCGGTACCACTTTATAGTACCTATACGCGTTTGTACGATTCCATTTTGCTTTTGATTTCTTTAAAATTTGCTCAAATTCTTTGGTGGTAGGTACCAACAAAAACAAATTAAAATAGGAAATGCTAATATATATATTTAATTTGGTATACCTATAATATTTCACGCTGCTACTGGGGTATTTGGGTACTATTTTAGTACCTATACGCGTTTGTATAATTTACCATTTTTTTTAGATTTTTTCAAAAGTTGCTCAAATTGTTTGGATACCATCAAAAACAAATTAAAATAGAAAATTCTAATGCATTTAATTAGGTATATTAATATATTTGAAGCTGGCTACTGGGTATTTGGGTACTACTTTAGTACCTATACGCGTTTGTACGATTCCATTTTGCTTTTGATTTCTTTAAAATTTGCTCAAATTCTTTGGTGGTAGGTACCAACAAAAACAAATTAAAACAGGAAATGCTAATATATTTAATTAGGTATGCCTATAATATTTCACGCTGCTATACTGGGGTATTTGGGTACTATTTTAGTACCTACATATACGCGTTTGTATAATTTATCATTTTTTTAGATTTCTTCAAAAGTTGCTCAAATTGTTTGGTGGAACCAACAAAAACAAATTAAAATAGAAAATTCTAATGCATTTAATTAGGTATATTAATATATTTGAAGCTGGCTACTGGGTATTTGGGTACTACTTTAGTACCTATACGCGTTTGTACGATTCCATTTTGCTTTTGATTTCTTTAAAATTTGCTCAAATTGTTTGGTGGTAGGTACCAACAAAAACAAATTAAAATAGGAAATGCTAATATAAACTGCTCCACAAAAGTTAAGGAAGTTCGCAAAATTTGCGATTATTTTAAAAGTTACAGACTTTCTGATCACCAAATTTTCAAATATGCGAAATTAAATGTTTTCTCTCATATCTAAGTGGATATTTCGCCCCTACCTCTACAACTCATACTAAATTTGGCAATCGAAAAACCTGCAACTTTTAAATTAATCTCAATATTTGTAAACTTCCTTAACTTTTGTGGAGCAGTATATTTAATTTGGTATACCTATAATATTTCACGCTGCTACTGCGGTATTTGGGTACTATTTTAGTACCTATACGCGTTTGTATAATTTACCATATTTTTTAGATTTTTTCAAAAGTTGCTCAAATTGTTTGGTGATACCATCAAAAACAAATTAAAATAGAAAATGCTAATGCATTTCATTTCATTACATTTATATATTTCACGCTGCTATTGGGTATTTGGGTACTACTTTAGTACCTATACGCGTTTGTACGATTCCATTTTTCTTTTGATTTCTTCAAAAGTTGCTCAAATTGTTTGGTGATACCATCAAAAACAAATTAAAATAGAAAATGCTAATGCATTTCATTACATTTATATATTTCACGCTGCTATTGGGTATTTGGGTACTACTTTAGTACCTATACGCGTTTGTACGATTCCATTTTTCTTTTGATTTCTTTAAAATTTGCTCAAATTGTTTGGTGGTAGGTACCAACAAAAACAAATTAAAATAGGAAATGCTAATATATTTAATTAGGTATACCTATAATATTTCACGCTGCTATACTGGGGTACTTGGGTACTATTTTAGTACCTATACGCGTTTGTATAATTTATCATTTTTTAGATTTCTTCAAAAGTTGCTCAAATTGTTTGGTGGTACCAACAAAAACAAATTAAAATTGAAAATGCTAATGCATTTAATTAGGTATATTAATATATTTCAAGCTGGCTACTGGGTATTTGGGTACTACTTTAGTACCTATACGCGTTGTACGATTCCATTTTTCTTTTGATTTCTTCAAAAGTTGCTCAAATTGTTTGGTGGTAGGTACCATCAAAAACAAATTAAAATAGGAAATGCTAATGTATTTAATTAGTTATACTTATAATATTTCACGCTGCTACTGGGGTATTTGGGTACTACTTTAGTACCTATACGCGTTTGTATAATTTACCATTTTTTTTAGATTTTTTCAAAAGTTGCTCAAATTGTTTGGTGATACCATCAAAAACAAATTAAAATGGAAAATGCTAATGCATTTCATTACATTTACATATTTCACGCTGCTATTGGGTATTTGGGTTGGTACCACTTTAGTAACTATCCGCGTTTGCACATTTTAGGCATTTTTTTTTTCGATTTTTTCAAAGTTGCTCAAATTGTTTGGTGGTAGGTACCATAATAAATTAAAATAGAAAATGCTAATGCAATTTATTATATTTATATATTTCACGATGCTAAGTACTGGATATTTGGGTACCACTTTAGTACTTATATACGCGTTTGCATATTTTACCCATTTTTCTCTAGATTTCTTCAAAAGTTGCTCAAATTGTTTGGTGGTGGTACCAAAATAAATTAAAATAGAAAATGCTAATGCATTTTATTATATTTATATGTTTATTTCAAGCTGCTATTGGGTATTTAGGTACAACCTTAGTACCAATAGGTACGCGTTTGTACAATATACCCATTTTTTAAATTTCTCAAAAGTTGCTCAAATTGTTTGATGGTCTAAAAACAAACTATAATTGAAAATACTAATACATTTATACTTATATTTATATCTTCAATGAGGATAATACTCTACTAGTATCTTTTCACTATAGCTAAGTCAAAAACCTATACTTTCAATAATTTTTCTTTAGATTAATTTTAAAGTTGCTCCGTACAGAATATAACAGAACAGAATATAAAATTAATATAAATATACCTACGAGTAAATTGTATATTGTATAGTGTATATTATAGATTTAATTTTTCACTCATCTAGTAATATCTGTTATTCACTAGTCGTGAGTTTGCATTACGAGCCGTAAATGTACTTATCGTTTCTTGAATAACAAGCCATTTCAAATGTTATTTATATACCAACCTGAAAATGCATAAATCAAATCACTGCTAGACCAGTCGTATGTTTTTAGTTCGGTGCATGTCATTTACTTTTTATGGATATTAAACGGTTTTATTGCTTTTTTAATTAAAAAAATTATATAAAATCTGATTTTAATTAAAATATTTTTCTGTTTTTAATAGTTTGCTTGCATTTGGTAATAAGAAAATCCGCGAAATATTTTATGGTCTTCGAACGATTTTTTTATTGAATTGTGTATGGCCACCTTTAAATATTTTTAATGTAAAATGAGCAAATATTGAAACGAAATTAATTCCAATGTTTATTATTGCATAATTTAAGTTAATCTATAACAATGCAATTATTTTTTAAGTATAAAGGGATCCACATAAAACCATTTTTTTAAGATAAGTTATTAGGTTTAGCGGATAAATAATTTATTTTTGAAAATTAATTTTCGTATTTTGTCGATAATCGACGGAAAAAATTTTAATTTTTACATGCCCGAAGGTCGATATGAATAAATTATAAACCGCATCAATAAAAACTTTTTATATTTATCGACAGTTAAATAAGTAACTTATCGTTAAAATAATTTATTTTTGGTATAAAATTAAATAAAGCAATCGTATTTTGTTTTAAAAGTTGTAAAATTTAATTAAATCAATAAAACCGGGTAAAACTTATCAGCGCTCTGTGACCAAACCGTTATTACAACCGATTAATAAAAATAATTATTTCTAATGGATCGCTGATTTTTTAAAATTCTCTCAAAATATCGAGGTACCTACACCTATAAAATGTACAATAACAACAATCATTTTATTGAACATCTATCGATTTGCAGACGCAATTAAAAACTACAATAGGCGTATAAAGTTTCATTCCCTCGAATTAGATACATAAATATTCAAACGTAAAATTCCCTGTAAAAATACAGGGCGACTTTCATTAAATTCGATAATTTATTTGTTCCACCGAATGTACTCAAATCGAAAACACAAAACATATTATGATGGCAACCCATCCAGAATGATGATGACATCGGTATATAATTGACTTCTGACCTGACTTCCCTTAACCTTTATCGTCACATCCGGTCAAATAGACTCATTACTTACCAGTTCTTCTACAGGTTTCTCATGTATATTCAATAGTTTATCCATAAAATTAACATGGTAAAATGTTGTCTAGATAATATTTATGTAGATGGCGACGGCCAGGTAGAGAAATTAATTGGTAAATGAACTATTAAAGCGACAGAAAAACTAACAAAAGGTTATTAAGTTTATGCGCGAAAAAAAAAACAGTTCCTGTTTTTTACAAAAGTATGTGTCTACTAAATTGTGCGTACTACATTATGTATGTAGTGTATGGACACCTTTTCGTTTACATTAATTAAGGAAACAGGTTAATAAGTGTGCATGGTACTTTATGTTTTAATCACGGGGACTATTAGAATACAAACACCCTGTATTTTCGAATTAATTTCGAGAAAACGATTTATCCATTTTAAACTGTGAAGGGAGGGACGTGAAGCATAAAGCATAATTGATGTGAACACGTTAAGTGCGACATGTAGAGCATGCGACATTTTATAGAAATTTCAATTTTGTAGAACATTACATTTTTATACTTTCTCCGATTACGGGGAGCAATTTCAGAGTTTTCAGGCGCTATTATAAAATGTAATAGATAAATATAGCGAGTGGCTATTATATTAAAGTAGGAAGAAATCTTAAACATAACTAACTTGAAATTTGTATGAGCCTTGGACAAAATTATTGATACAAAAATCAGTAAAAATTGGAGATATTCGTTTGAAAGGTTTGATGAAATTATGCATAAAATTCGTGAGAACATTTGATGCAAAAACTTATAAAGGTATGAATATAGTTTTAACTAAACGAGGGAGAAGAGAAAAGTAACAATTTTGTGCAAAA